AAGTAAAATAAATGAACTCTAAGAGATTTCATCGGTATTATTTGGCATTATTTTCAGCAATCAATAATACACACCCAAAAATATATAAATAGAAATACACAATATTCACACTAAGCCTACTACATGTATATCCGAACAAGATAAAGGTATAGATATGCAAAACACACACTTGAACTCAACCCACTCTTCGAAAATACGAAATACAAGTAAAAAAATCAGAGGAAATGAAGCAGCTGACAATGAACAGACAGGACATGAATCTACCAGTGAAATCTTGCGCGAACTCGGCCCTTCCATCGGCGGAGGGACTTCCAGGCCATCGGGGTCAAAGCGGGAAAGGGGTCAAGCAGGGTCACGAGGCCAGAGACGGAAATGCCCGAAGTGATGCCCAAATCAGGTGACAAAACGATTTATCTTCTCAAGAAGTAATATACCATTTTGTTTCTCCGTTTATATGTGCGTGATAGATGTCAAGCCTCACTTAAAACTAGGAAATGAAAAATTGCAGATTCGTTCACACAATTTGTGTGTATGTTTGTTTATGTTACTGAGCTGATGAAATGGAATAATGGAATTAACCAGATTTGTACATGCTGAAATATTCTTATGTTTAAAGGCTGTCTGTTTATTTTCTTCTAAATTATCCTCTGTGTTTAAGGGATGACAGGAGTTGCCCTCCACTTACTTTTATCATGACGATTAAATAATGGTTTAGCTCAAAATTTACTCAAAGAATTTAATTTCAATGTTCACTATGAGCAGAGTGTGATAATCCAATATCAATCATTTACATTTTCTAAAGACTAAATATTCCATTTTCACAATGAATAAATAAATAAAAACTTGGCACCTCCTTGTTTAGCTATCGATAAAATGCCGCAAGATTACCTACAGTGAATACTGATATTCAGAAAAATAAGTAAAGAATTCAATTCACTCAATACTGTCTCTCACACTGGTTCACCTTCCACTTTCATTTCACTCATTTTCAAATTCTTAGTCATTTCCCTCAGTGCCCGTCGCTTCACACCACAAAGGATAGCTATCTTTGGCACTCCCTTACAAAGTCATGTGATGATACTAAGTCTTTAGGAAGTTAAGAAATGAACCTCATGAGTTTGGCTGCTGTTGGTGCCGTAAGACTATATAGCAGATCAACAACTATGTCCTATGTAATGGGATTTCATCTAACACAGAATCTATAAGCATATTGCGTTGTGTCTATTTCCTAACTCTTTTCGATACTGTTACTTTATCTTTTATTTTTCTGGGACATTTCGTAAATGTAGCTAACGATACAGGCGTTTGCTCTTGTTTTTGTATTCTGTGATCACCCTTTTTGCAATTTGCTGGCAGAATTTCCATGAATAAAAATTTACTATCAGTTATTCAATAACTTTTTTTTTTTTTTTTTTTGGTATATTTTTACAACGTTTGTTTACTAACACGATTGCCAGTTCATTAGGGATAAAAATATGGCCTAGCATATGATGCAAAAATCTAATTTTCAAATTGAAAGATACTTCCGTCACGTCAGAATAAACTATTCGACATATCCATGCACTCAAGTGTGTGAAAACACTGGACTTATTGAAAAAGAGAACTTTTGCATTTTTTTCTTTTCTTCAAGTTTGAACTCTGAGAGGTTTTTATCTACTGAGTATATTTAAACGTCAAATCTGGAGATTATTGGCCCTTTTTTTAAATATTGTTTTATACAAGGCAATCAAGAAAAATCAAGAATAGAAATATAATTTTATTTCCTTTTTAATCGATCTTATATCTTATATACATTATGGCAGTGGGGTTTAGTAGTAATGCCTCGAGGGGGGCGCCGCAGCTGCCGCCTGCCTGTTGTAGGTGCTGAAGAACTGCTGCTTGGCGGCGGCGACTTCGGGAGTGTCAGCGACCTGGGGGGCGGAGCCTGGGAGTCCGGCGGGGACGGTGGCTGCCACGGGGCCAGTCCACTTGGGCTGGACTGGGGCGGCGTGGTGGAAGCTGTGCTGAGGGACGGCTGGGGCGTGGTGGTAGGTGGGGGCGTGTGGTGGGCGGGGACGTGGTGGTGGGCGGGGGCGTGAGCGTGGACGGCAGGGACGGCACCCACGGTGGCCCTCAGCTGTGCCTGGTAGGCGCTGTTGAAGGCGTTGCGGGCGGCAGCCACCTCGTGGGTGTCGCTGACGGGGGTGATGGTGCCGTCGACGCCGGCGGGGACGGTGGCAGCCACGGGGCCAGTCCACTTGGGCTGCACGGGGGCGGCGTGGTGGTACAGAGCCTGCTGAGGGGCGGCAGCATGGTGGTAGTAGGCCTGCTGGGGAGCGGCGGCAGCCTGAGCAGCACTGAAGCTCTGGAAGAAGCGTGCTCTCTCAGCCTGCACTTCGGGGGTGTATCCCGTGAAGGGACCAGCCGAGCACACTCCCAGCACTGCCAAGAAGACCTGCGAAAGAAGAATTTCTCTCATTGTTTGGTGTTTATGTCTTTTGATTTATACGTTATGTAGAAAAAAAAGATCTCTTAAAAGAGAGAGAGAGAGGTAATGCACTTGAAGGCTTTTCCATTTCTTAAACTTCCACAGACCAAGCATCATGCACAGCTTCACTGCCACTGTCCCTTCTGAAACGAACATTGCATTGCTG